CATCCAGTGAGAGATGGGTCTAGTGGGGTTTAGGGCAGGGGTGGGAATTTTGGCGACATCCAACAGATGAGGCAACTATAAACGACGCTGCCCTATTGCCCAATGCACCTCATTTTTCCATGGTCTTTTCCTCCTCTTTATTTTCTCTCTCTCTATTCTCTCTTTTTATTCTTCTTTGTTTCCCACCACTCCTGTTTCCCTCAGGGCGTCATCCTGCCAAAAATACCTATTTAGCATGTATTATGTGTTAGGGCTGATAAGCAGTGTACATGCAGTAACTCTTTAATCCTCACCACAAGCTATGGTATTATTGATATTTCCATTACACTGATAAAGAAGCTGAGAAACAAGAGGAACTCCCCAAATTCACATAGCTAGAAGAGTCCACATTCTTAGTTGTTACAAAACACTTAATTAGGGCCTGCCCGGTGGCGCACTTGGTAGAGTGCGGCACTTGGGAGCGTGGGGGCGCTCCCGGTCAGGGTTCGGATCCCATATAGAGACCGGTCCGCTCACTGGTTGAGCGCGGTGCAGGCGCGACACCGAGGGTTGCGATCCTGTTACCAGTCACGAAAAAAGACAAAAAAAAAGGAAAACAAACACTTAATTATTGCATTATACACTGCTTAGCAAGCCTGATGCTGTAAGGCACCCTTGTCAACTCCCTCCCCAAACACGCACAGGCTTTCTGAGTCTAATGACCCTTAAAGAAGCCCAACGAACTCCACTTCTAACTAGTTCACCCAAATTGGTCAGTCTTTTGCCTACAATGCAGTTGTTTTGTAACTTGTCTTGGATTCGCAGACCATTTCTACCTTCCAAAGCAATGAGAAGGGTTGTTACAGACAAAAAAGAGAGAAGAGTCAGATTTGCTGGATCTGAATTTACCCATGTGACATGGCTGTTTTGGTTTTAGCCTCAGGGTGCCTTTTTCCTAAAGCTTACCTGTGCTTCATAAGCTAGTGTTGGCAGACTGTGGCTCCTAAAATGAGGAATAATTCCTGCCTATTAGCGAATGAGTTTACCTCCAGGAAACTGTTGAAAGTCAGTACAAATCAGAAGAGTTTCCGCAGGAGCCTAAATTAACCTGCAGGAGCCTTTCAGAGCTGCAAGCAGTATTACTCCCAAGCACAACAAGGTCAGCACAGTCACGATTTTTGCTCTGCTTCTTAAGTAGGAATGATTTTTGAAAGAGAACTTGCCCGTTACTTTATGTTGTGGAGAGGGAAGGAAAACATTAAAGAAAATGTGACTAATCAAGTGCTAGAAGACTTGAAAACAGAAGTTTTCTGATTAGTAACGCAAAGCTGGGATCATGTCTTCTTGCATTTGTCAAAGTGGGGAACATAAAATCCGGCTAACCTATTCAGCTAGCTGAAAGGTTTCCATGACAACGATGGGAACTTGGAACATTCCGTACTCTTGTCTTCAAAAATAACATTTCACTATAGAGATTGTTAAAAGTACTAACCCACCTTACCTTTGCAGTCCAAGGTAACTACTTGTCCATTATCTTGGTCTCTTACTACCCTGGAAGAACTTCAAATGGTTTGTTTATCCTACAGCTAAGAACAAAAATTGAGAGAGAACCAGACCAGTATGAACTGTGTTTAATCTCAGCATGTTATAGCCAGTTTAGTTTGCATACTCATTAGTTTTTCCAGAGGAAAGAGAACTTACTTCTATGCAAGGAATTATAGATATAAAGGTTGTTTCTTCTCTACTTTTAAAGCCAATCATGTTCAAAATAGAAAATATAGTTACCTCATACATCTTTTTCTGAGATGCTACCAACTCACGTTCATGGTAGATAACATAGGAAATATAGAAAAATGCTAAGAAAAAAAAAGCATCCCTTATCTCACAACCCTGTGAGCCTAACTATTATTAAAATTTTTATATTTTCCCTGCTAGTGTTTATACTATATCTCTATTTTATGTGTTCATTTTTTTAACTAAACCATTCTTTACATAGGAAATATAGAAAAATGCTAAGAAAAAAAAAGCATCCCTTATCTCACAACCCTGTGAACCTAACTATTATTAAAATTTTTATATTTTCCCTGCTAGTGTTTATACTATATCTCTATTTTATGTGTTCATTTTTTTAACTAAACCATTCTTCAAGTTTGACCCACAGAGATAAGCTTGGATAATAGAGGGTTTATTACCCCAAAACTTCCAAAACATAATAGATAATCACTCGGGTGGTAGTGTTTCCAAGACCAACTTCTTAAAGACCCAGAACAATACTCAAATATAATCAACCTACCTCATCTGTGCATTTGGCATTCTTATTTCTCCAGGAAGAGGCACTGATTTGTCTCTCAGCCCTCATTCAAAATGGGGCATCTCTTTCCGCAACTTAATCAATCCTTGCCCAGAGAGCACATTTTGTTTCAGGTATCACAAATGGCAGAAACCCCAGAAACCTGCTATTTCAGCTTCCCTTATGCAGAAGATATCTGCAAGGGCTCCTTTCCAGTATACCTTAAACACAATCTTCTTTTTCACAAGATGTTATCATCAGTGACAGTTCAGGAGTGGGACAGTGGGATTGGTTCACTTCAGGTGCAAGCAATGAAGGGGAAGGGATATTATAGAGAAATTAAAAGCAAGAATTAATAAAACCACTGAAATTCTAAAATGCAGCCTGCTTTTTGTTCTCCTGATGTTCCCACAATTCTAAATATTAGTGATAGAAGATTCCTTCTCCAGAAATATTTTTTGTCGGTCTAAGTTCTAAACAACTAGTGAAGACTTTGATGGTTTACTAATATACTGTATATTTAAGCTTTAAATTAGCACATTTTCATTACTTGCATGTGAATAAACTTAGTAATCTACAGGAGAGTTGATTCAATTAACTCTCTGCATAGTCCATGACACACATAATTAGCTACATGTAATCCTCTCCTCTGGAATAGAAGTTCTACAGGTTTCAGAATCATTCCAGCTCACTTCATGCACAGCCAAGTACTCATCTCCTATGTTGCATATTCTTGCACTTAAGCAGTAGATTTGAAATAAACAGTGGTAGCATACTGGTTGTAAAGATCAAGAAACAGAACTCAAGTTATTTCAACTCTATCATTCTATGTGCTAATTATTCTCTGAAACATTGACATTTCTGTCTTTTTGGAAGTACTTCTCCATGGACTTACCCTTCCCCTCTTTCCAAAATAAAATTTAATTTAAAAATATTAATTTATTGATTTTCCATTTTTGTACTATAATTACTTTTTAAAATTTATTTTACTCTGTTTCTTTACTATGATGATTACAGATAAAAAGTTCAAGATAAGAATTCTACAATTCATCTTTCTTTTCTGACCATTATTAATATTTGTTATATTTCATGATTATTACAAAAAATAATTTTGTCCCATAGAAGAGGAAGGGGTATTAAAAATTGACTCACTCCAGATGTCAAATACTCTAGGTGTTCTACTATGATGTTTTAAGTATTCAATGATATCAAGTTTTCATCATAAACACTAGCGTACTATATTTCATGATATTTCTTTACCCAGATAGGTCAAAAACTAATCATTAATTTATTATTAGACAATTATCTTGTTTCAAGGTTTTGATGTTATTACTAGTGCTATATTAAATAGCTCTACACAAATTTTATTTCCATTTTCTGACTTTGCTTCCATCTAATTTTATGAGACTGCTTATAGGCAATAAACAGGGCCAAAAAGCAAGGCAAGATCACCACAATAGATTATCCAAAAACTGGATAATGTGAATCATTACTGAAGTGAACTCTTATTTATTCAGTAGTTAATTATCTATAAACTAAGTATCCATAATTTCAATGACCTACCTAGAGCATCCTAGAAGAAAAAAAGAAACCCTTAAGATGTGTTGGCTTTAAAATGCCTTAAGAATCTCCTTTTTATGTATATGCATCTATTATTTATGTGCAGTATTCTCGAACATTTCTATCTATCATGTTATGCAGAAGCTTTGCAGAATAAAATCTTCCTAGGCAGCAACTAGTCATCTGGGGCATCCTAATCTGCTCTATTTATTCATGTTTCAGTGCACACGCTAAATAAGAAATTGGCAAGATGATGCAAGGGGCTATGGATACTCAGCTTTGTTCTTCAGCTTGGAACCAAGCAACATTTCTCTGGGTAGTTTATTTCCTACCAATTTTCTGTGCAGAATATAAAAAGGATCTGATTTACTCCCACACCAAGGAAGCAGCCAGGACCTAAAATCACAATACAGTGCAATTGGACAAGGATTTTTCTGTGAGAGGCAGGGTGAAGTGGTGGTGAAAAGTTTGACTCTAGTGCTAGACTGCCTCAGTTAAAGTCCCACTTGCTGATTGGGCAACCCTGGGCTAGTCAGGGGCTGTACCAAGCTCTGGGATAAATGAACAAACAAGTTAGTCCCTGTCCTGCTGGAAACTTACAGTTAAGAGAGATAGAGAGAGATAGTCGAACAACTGAAAAAATCATTACATAAGAGAACACAGAACAGGGCATCCCGCCCAGCTTCAGGATATCTGCCTGTTATTATTATATTACTCTTTGAGAGCAATATTTCCTCCTATAGAAGGTTAAATCTTTTTGAAGGTTGACCGTACATACATATACACACATAGACTTTCACTCAAAGAGTAGATGTCAGTTTCCACTACTCTTTTTTTTTTCACGTTTTAAAACTTTTTATTTACATATTTAAAAAATTGTTCATTCCAATAATTAAAATCAAATGAACAAAAAAGTGGCACTCTGATTAAACTGCATTTTACAGCCTGCAGGACACCTTGGACCAGCTTGGTATTAACTCTAGACTTCACTGTCGTCCCACCCAGCTCTTCCTTCACCAACATGCAAGTTCTTTTCCTTCCCTGCCAGCCAGACAGGCAGATGGGAGAGGCAGGCATGGCCTTCGTTGTCAGTAGTTCTTTGACATGAGAAAGGGGCAGCACAGTCATTTAAATTTGATCCAGCCTCCTTGCATCTTACAAAGTTAAACAGCTGAAAGAAGTAAAATAAGAAGGCAATGCTGGTGGAATGTACAGTGCATATCGGCGGGGCACGCCTCACTACGACTCGCCTGCTTGCTTCCCCTGTTTGATCGTTTCCTTGGAAGGCAGTGGATTTTTCTCTTGCTTTTCTGTCTTCAATATCGACTTATCGAATTTCTCGATCTCAGCCATCTCGGGTTTGTCAGACATGGTTGCGGAGGAAACGGAGCGAGGCACGCGAGCGAGTGGAACCAGGTCTGCGCAGTGGTCACAGCCAAGCGCCAGCAGTTTCCACTACTCTTAAGGGAGAGGAGTGGGGGCAGGCTTAAAGCGAGGAAACTTAATTGTATCTGTGTTCTGCTGTGCCAAGCCTGTGTTATTAGATTTGCAAGATCGGGAAACCACCACATGCCTTGTCTAATGTCAGCAATTCATTTTTGTTGTGCAAAATTCACATTTGCAGGCCTCCCAGAAACTGTTATAGAATGAAGCACATAAAAGATTCATGCACATTCGGCAGTTACCTCCTGGATAACACTTCTCAGGGGATTGATTAAGGAATTTAATTTAAACCAACAGAACCAGTAGTATTTCTGCTGATCTCTCATGTAACTGTGTTAGTGAACATAAATATACATGCACAGGCTTTGGATATTCTGTGATTCTTACAATTATCTGGTTCAAAGGAAAGCAAACTGATTACCATATGCATGAAACTGAGAAAGAGAAAGTTCCGTTCTATGTCAGCAGTAGGAGGGAAGGTGGTTTTTGAAATATGGATGTCTTACTACTTTTATTTGATGTGTTTTCAATGCTTGTACAGAAAAAATAATTATCCAAATATCACACATAAAAGCAAATTGAGTGTGTATTTTTCTTTTCAAGTTGCTGTGTTCAAATTTTGATCAAAAGTAATGCTAGCTAACATAACCCCTGCAATAACATACATGTAATTAAATGCTAAGAAATGAAGGGGTCGGAATCCTTTTCTTATATTTATTCATCAAAATATACTTAAAATAATAATTATGTCTAGCATTATATTGAGTAGGGAAAGAGTTTTTCAATAATATCTTTCACAGAAGCTCAATATAGAAAATAGATAAAAAGCAGAAATTCTCTGGTAAAAGTGGCAGTTAGGTACCTAAAATCCTGACCTTGTAGATTCTCCATCAGTCCCCTGAAAGAGCCCCTAAAAAGACCCTGTATCTTTCAAGGACTCAAAAGAACATTGTTTGAAAACAAACTATATGATGCACTACTCTTTACTATACACTTTCACATTATTTTATCTTAACCTCACAAAAGCCCTGTGAGGTAGATCTTACCCTCATTTTACAGATCAATAAATCAAGATTGAGAAAGGAAATATTTTCCAAGATTATTCAGTTTATGATTTCCGTTGTTTGAACTCAAACCTAAATCTTCTTGCTCTAAAGCAGGGTTTCTTAACTTCAGCACTATTGATGTTTTCAGCTGGATAATTCTTTGTTCTGTGGGGCAATCCTGAACATTACGGATGTTTAACAGCATCTTTGACTTCTGACATCTACCCACTAAAAGCCAGTAGCATACCACCTCAGTCATGACAACCAAAAGTGTCTCCAGACATTACCAAAAGTCCCATGGGAGGATGTTTAACAGCATCTTTGACTTCTGACATCTACCCACTAAAAGCCAGTAGCATACCACCCCAGTCATGACAACCAAAAGTGTCTCCAGACATTACCAAAAGTCCCATGGGGTAGGGTAGGAGTGGGGGAACAAAATGGCCCCAGGTTGAGAGCCATGAATCTAAAGCCAGGACTCTTAACATGGATCCCCCAAAGGGTTCATGGATAAGATTCTAGGAGTCCTTGAATTTACATCTTTATTTTCACCAACCTCTATTGGAAACTTAACATTTCTTTCCATGATTAGTGTAGGCAACAGACCTTAGTGGTATTATCAGTACTTGTGACTTGTAAACAATAGAAAACACCATTATACCAAATTTCCTATCAAGTTACAGTTATTACAGGTATTTCGATATATTATTTACTTTATTTACTACCTCAAAATTATGGTAGATATTTGTCCCATTGTCCAATCTTATTTAATACCTTTCTAATGAAGCATATATAACCATGTTGACCTAAAAAGAGCCTGAGGCCAAATACATATAGCAAGGATTGATTGAGCCAATATGATGATTGCGTCTGGGGCATGCATGATCAGGTCACCCTGAAAAATGCATTCCAAAGAAGGCCAGCAGAGCTTAGCATTTCATAATCATAAGAAGGGTCTATGACAAAGCACTAAAAGCATGCATTGGGGAAAAGACAGCCTCTCCAATAAATGGTGCTGGGAAAACTGGATTTCCATGCATGGGGGAATGAAACTAGGCCCCTATCATTCACCATATACAAAATAAACTCAAAATGGATTAAAGACTTAAATGTAAGACCTGAAAATATAAAACTTATAGTAGAAAATGCAGGGGAAATGCTCCAAGACATAGAACTAGGCAAAGATTTTATGAATAAGACCTCAAAAGCACAGACAACAAAAGCAAACATAAACAAGCTTCTGTGCAGCAAAGGAAAGAATCAACAGAGTGAGGAAACAACCTATAGAATGGGGAAAATATTTGCAAAGTATATCCGACAAGGGACTAATATTCAGAATACACAAAGAACTCAAACAACTCAATAGTAAAAAAAAAAAATAACAAATAACCCAATTAAAAAATGGGCAAGGGAGCTCAATAGACATCTCCCAAAAGAAGACATACAAATGGCCAACATACGAAAAAATGATCAACATCACTAGTCATCAGGAAATGCAAATCAAAACCACACTGAAATATCATCTCACCACAGTCAGCCTGGATATTACCAAAAAGTCAGAAAATAACAAATGCTGGCAAGGATGCAGAGACAGGAAATGCTTATACCTTGTTGGTAAGATTGTAAATTAGAACAGCCATTTTGGAAAACAGTATGGAGGTTTCTCATACAGCTACAGATAGAACTGTCATATGATCCAGCAATCCCACTGCTGGAATATATACCCAAAGGAACGGAAAGCACCAGGTCAAAGGCGTACGTGCTCTACTGTGTTTATCACAGCTCTATTCACAAAGCCCGGATACAAAACCAACCTAAATGTTGATCAATAGATGATTATTAGATAAAGAAAATGTGGTACATATACAAAATGGAATGCTACTCGACCATAAAAAAGAATGAAATTCTGCCATTCACAGCAACATGGACGAACTTATAGAAAATTATAAGTGAAGTAAGCCAGGCACAGAAGGAGAAATACCACATGTTCTCACTAATATGTGAGAGCTAAAAAAAGAGAACAAAACAAAACAAATAAATAATATTAATAGTAAGTTAAACTGGTAAATGGAGAGCGAAGAACTTGTGGTCACTAGAGGTTACTTATCGTAACTTGTGCTTACTAGAGGCAGGAAAGGGGAGGTGGAAAGGTGGATAGTGAGAGGCTGGTTAATGGACACAAAACTACAGCTAGATAAGAAAAATAAGTCCTACTGGTGTACAGTTGATCCAGGAATTTATACTTACAATGACTTACTGCACGTTACCAAACAAATAGAAGAGAAGAGATCAAATGTGCACAAAGAAGTGATTGGGTTTTACAAGGATGAATATGTTGATTGCCCTGAATGGATCATCACACACTGTATACATGTATTGAGATATAACTCTGTACCCCATAAATATGTACAATCAATATGTTCAAAAAAAATTTTTTTAAAGATATCAAGCCTAGAAATCGTAAAAAATTTCTTAGGCTCTTAGGACAAAATACAACTGAGAAAGGAGCTAATTATGTTCTGGTGCCTCATTAGCTAATAAAACCCATAGAAAGATAAAAAATAAAATTAAAAGAAAGAGGAAATGTCAAAGGTGAGAGGGAAGGGCAGCCCCACCTAGTTAGTTTATTAGAGTTTCTATAGGTTGTGCATGATGTATAGATTTGAGTTTGTTACTACATGACATAAAAGTTACAAGATCCATTCTGGGGGCGGGGCGTATGGCTTTCTGGTGCCATTAAGTCCACTTCTGTGTAAAATGGTCTTATGATAACATTCTCCAGGACAGGTGGATGTGACTACTGAATTATCCCATATCTCCCAAGGCACTATAATTTAGTTGACCTGATCAGAGCAGATTTTTTTTTTTTTTGAAGGCAGACTATTGCTTTATTTTTCACCATTTATGAATCATCTCAGGCTACATTTTTTGATGATGCATATTCAAAAGACAATTGCTTTAGGGAGGAAAAGCCTTCCAAAATTCAAAGCAGATTTCTCTGATATTATATTCTATCCTTGTTTAAAACCAGAGGTTTTTTTAGTAACAGTATTTGAATGGCACCAAAATATTTTAATTTTTTTTTTTCGTTAAATTTTTATTTTGTCAATATACAATGTATATGATTATTACCATACGACCCAGCTATCCCACTGCTGGGAATATACCTAAAGGAATG